TTACCAGGTAGTGACCCCCTCCTCCAGCGGCTCGGGCTTGCAGCCCCAGGGGCCGGGCCAGGGCCCGCAGCAGCAGCTCATACCCAAGAAGAAGCGGCAGCGGTTCGTGGACAAGAACGGCCGGTGCAATGTGCAGCACGGCAACCTGGGCAGCGAGACGAGCCGCTACCTCTCGGACCTCTTCACCACACTGGTGGACCTCAAGTGGCGCTGGAATCTTTTTATCTTCATCCTCACCTACACCGTGGCCTGGCTCTTCATGGCGTCCATGTGGTGGGTGATCGCTTACACTCGGGGCGACCTGAACAAAGCCCACGTCGGCAACTACACGCCCTGCGTGGCCAATGTTTATAACTTCCCCTCTGCCTTCCTCTTCTTCATTGAAACCGAGGCCACCATCGGCTATGGCTATCGATACATCACCGACAAGTGCCCCGAGGGCATCATCCTCTTCCTCTTCCAATCTATCCTGGGCTCCATCGTGGACGCCTTCCTCATCGGCTGCATGTTCATCAAAATGTCCCAGCCCAAGAAGCGAGCCGAGACCCTCATGTTTAGCGAGCACGCGGTGATCTCCATGAGGGACGGAAAACTCACGCTCATGTTCCGGGTGGGCAACCTGCGCAACAGCCACATGGTCTCTGCGCAGATCCGCTGCAAGCTTCTCAAAGTAAGTACTGCCTCCCCTTCCTCAGCAGGCGAGCGCCTTCGCACCCGGAGGTTAGCTCGCCCAAGAGCTGCGCTACCCACTTACTTCCCGTTTACCTGTCGCCACAGGTAGTCACTTGGGGGTAGGGGAGAAGCGCTGAAGGTTTGGGCAAAGAGCACAACTCTCAAGTCTCTTCTTTTCTCACTCGCTCTTTTCCTACTCTTATTCATAGTCAGCGTTTCTGATGCACTTATGTCTCTTTCTGGGGTAGTAACCCTTAAGGAGTCAAGGTGTGCGCTCCTGGATCCTTTATGGAAATGTTCCCCCTGACCTGGCTGTTTAGAACACTTCTGATTTGCTGTATACACACTGCTCCCTTAAAACTAAAGTGCTAAAGCTAAATTGAACAGCTTTTATTTTGATAAAACAGGTGGTGAACTTAACTCAACTTTTGCTTTGGGTTTGCCTTTCTGCTTTTTTCTCCCTAATAATATTAGCAGTTGAGTTCCTTGTCTGGACCCAGTGAGTTTAACTATACCTGCCTTGATCTTTTTAACACTCAGATCCAGGAAGCGGTAAACAAAGTGGAAGAAACCACACCTGGTTCTCTTAAATTTTTATTTTTACAAAATATTTTCCTAGAGAAGTATTCTGTGAAAGCTTGAGTGCTTTGCCTGCAGAGCTTCTTGTTAATTTTATTCTTAATTGCCTGTTTCTATGAAGCCTTTGTCAGTTACAGATTTCACTTGAAGCTTTTCAGCATCCATTAAAGAAGATTGCTTCCTACCATCAGTGGTGTAAATGCTAAAACAAATGGCACATGGAGTGGTAATTAAAGTAAGATTCTTCTAGTCGTTAGAGGGCACCACCACAAACAAGAGAGGTGCTCCTTAGCCTCTCATACAGTTGAGTCTGGGGAGGAAGAATTAAGGGCTTAAAGAATAGTTCTTTCTCCAGATATCAATTATTTTTCCTTGAGAGATTTGCCTTAGTATTTATCTGTTTATAAATTGAAAGTGTTACCTCAAATAATTCATCAATTGGAAATTATTTATCTGAGATTGTTTAGAGAACCATAGCCGGATTCAGAATTTAGTATTAGTAAAATGAGAATCTGATAGTCACTTAAATTGATGTTTTCTGCCTTTGAAATTTCAGTTTTCATTGTCTGCCTGTACACTGGTTTTCACCACCCTAATTTATGTTTTAGTTAAAAGTGACCCAATGTGCTTTAAAGAGCTTTTATTTTATGTCATTTTCCTTATTCACTTATAAGAACTTATTTTAATTACTCTTCATTAAGTTGTTTGGTAGTGTTTGAATTAAAGAAGTTCACTTGGCCTGTCACTCTACGCCACATGCATATTTACTATACTGCTGACAGTAAGTAGACCAAATTTTATATATCAGGCTATAAAATTATCAGCCCCATTTGGATGTATATTTAATAGATGATATAACCATGAATAAATAATTTGAGTAGTGTATTATGTAATTAATGAATTGCATACAGTTTTCATATTTAGATTAGCATCTTATTTTGTTAACTAATTAATTAATTAAGCAGGTTGTTTCATGAATCTATGCAGTTGTGTTTTAAACATAGTTATTACAGTGGTAATTGTTGTATGTCCTTGTTTCTATGCACAGACCAAGATATATCTTTCCTTTCTTTAGGTTAGGGCTACTGGGAAGATAGGAGCAACTTTGTTAGAATAATACCAAAGTCTCTCTCTCTCAAAAACAAATCTGTTTATGTATCACTTTGGAGTTTTTTGGAAAAGTAATTTAGAAAGTGAAATATAGACTTCAGAGGCTATTTATTTAAGTTCCATTTAGTATTTTTAATATATTTCAAACATGTAAAGTTATTTGTTGAAACAGATGTCTTTTTCAGATTTTAGATGTCATCAAATCTTATTTTTAAAAAATCAAATATAATTAAAATCAGACTATTTATTAATTACATACACACACAAGATTAAACTAAAACATTCTGTCTCTACAGTGGTGAAGTTTCCTGAAAAAAAATTTTTTGCATAAGGCCATGTACCACATATAAGTAGTGTCTTGATTAAAAATATAAAAGATTTATATTATTGACAAATTTGGATCAAGGTGCTACATTAACACAAGGTGATAAAGAAATCTCTAATTAAAATGATAGAACAATCCTAAAAAGTTCTTGACTGTTGATTTGTCAAGATGTTAGTCCCAAAAGTCAGAATGATTGATATGTAGCATTAAATTTACATTTAAACCAAATTATAGTGAAATTCTCCCCTGATTTTGTGAAGGAAGAGGAATTGATTAGTGGTAGGCAGTTCTTCACACAAGCCAGCTAGTGTATTTTGTTTGAAGTTGTTTATTCCTGTAGCCATAGTAGTTAAGTGAATTCTTGCAGTTCTTGTCATTTCCTTGGGTTCATTAAAAAAATAGTCATGCTTTAGAGGGGAACTAATAATATTATTTGGCAAAATTAGAGGCGAGATTTGCCTTTAATAGTTGCTCTCATTTTCTATTAGGGACTGAGTTGAAGTGACCTAAAACAGTCAGCTATTTATGGGAGAGACGCTATACCAAAATCTCAAATTTAAAATATTTTATTAAAAGTTTTATGCATTCTTATTTCATATTATTATATATATTCAGTTTTTTATTTTAAACTCCACTTAACATTTTAAATGTAAAATGGTGTGTTTTTAATGAAGAATATATATAATTTTAAGGCAACAAGAATTAATATACTATTCAATGATTATAGTGCATGTATTATCTTCATATTACATAATTTCATTCTGTTTTTATATTTGCTGAATAAAAGCTTTATTAATATCAACATTAAAGTTTTATTTAATAATTATAAAGCACTTTCAGTTCTTGGAAAGACACAAATAACATGGATATAGCTTTCTAGTATTTGCTATTATTAAGTTTTAGACATATAATAATTTTAAATTTCCTAACTTTTGATGAAAGTTTCTTGGCCTAATTTTTAATTGTGCATCTTACCTTTATGAAGGCAAATTTGTTTCAACTCTACTCCAAAATTCTCAGCTTGAAAATATTGAAATATCTTTAGCAATTGAATATAGAACATCAAAATATATGCAAAGAGATGTCAATTCTTTTACTGAGCAAAAATATAAAATAAATTACATGAAATACAAAAGATATAATTTTTATTCTTTAAAATCAATGAGTTGTAAAAACTGTATTAATATGTATATTATTAATATCATTACCATATGAAAATTTCTTTGACTTATCAATTTATTTTAGTTGTTTACCTTAGAGAGTAGGAATTAATTAATATTGTGGCCATACTAATTTAATGTATCATCTTGTGGAGAGTTTTAATAAAAATACCAGGACTATGGCTCAAATGATAACTTCATAACTTAGGATTGGGTTAGGATCTCATTTATTCCTTTCTAACGATGACTACCCTAGACATATAATGTGCTGTAGGAAAATTTTGATGCATTGTTCAATAATTTATAAATTAGTATCTGAAGTGTGTCATATATATATATATATGTATATATACCATGTGTGTATATCATATATATGCTTATATATTCTCAACTAAACATTTTACATAAAATAAATGTAAAGCCAACTATTTTTGCTTCTATATTTTGAAAGAAACAATGAAGTTTCTCATGGAAGTGTTATGTTATTTCTTTATATTTATATTCATTGTCAGTAATCGTCTTTCTGAGGAGGTAGGTTATGCAACCTTTAACTTTCATTTATTGAAAGTTAATGAAGTGCATTCTCTTCCTCTTCAAATATCACATCCCTTATTTTGGTACTCACATTTTTAAAAAATCGCATATTAATACTTTAGTTGAATGCTTTGTGGTTTTCTTCTATGAATGTGATTACATGTACATTCAATTAAAATTGTTGTGTATAAAAACCACTGAACACTTTACCCTCTTTTTTCTCTTTTCAGTGTGAGGAATCTAACTCAGGGCCTTGCATATGCTCAGCAAATGCTCTACCACTAAGATATATTCTGAGACCTACCCTAACATTTTATTGATCTTTTAACTGCAGTGATTCCTGGATCACAGATTCTAGGACATTTTTACATAATTATTGACTTGTATTCATTCTATGTCTTCATTCAATGTCACATTTACATAAATGTGACTAGGATTTGATTCTCTATGACCTTATTTCTTATGACTGGCTTTTATCTCCAATTGATCTGTTAATTTGAACTTTTAAGCTTGAGGCAATGATTTATCTTCAATTGAAAATTAATCCCCCACATATATAGCATCTATATTTTTTCTGAAACCATGATCCACGCTGGTGAAAAGTATATTTAAGGAGTCTAAGACTGAGGATTTCAGAACTCTCAAGAGCTAGGTTCTCATATTGTTTGGTGAATTTTAAATGGATTTATTATGCCTTTTAGAATAGCACAGTCCCTTTGCTTTCTTTGAGAAAAGTGAAATAATTCTCTTATAAGTATAAACTTTGGGTTCTTTGTAAAATCTATAATTATAATTCCTTTTAATAGTAACACTACAGGTTTTTAAAAATTTTATTGTGATTCCTGAAAAGTACAGAATGCTTAGAGAATAAAGGATAAACAGAAATAAGGGACTTGGAGACCCACAAATAAACAGCAGTAGGTAGGAACAAATGATAAAGAGAAGCAGTAGAAAGCATTTGATGGATTGGAGGGTGTTGGTGAGGAGGAGAATGTGCAAATAGGGTTACAAATCTTATCCATAGTTATTACAAACTCCACAAAAGGCTCTCGAGGAATTATGAGCTGCTCTTGCATTTGAGTGTTATACAAGCCTCACACAATCTATTACAAGATAAAATAGATTCTATTCTATAAAAATGTTCTTGTCATAAAAATAATTTAAAGGGTTAATTAACCTAACATATTTTTAAATTTTATACTCAATTTTGATAAGCTCATTATCTGTTTCTTTGTTTTTGTTTTTGTTTTTTTTTTGGTACCGGGAATCAAACTTGGGTCCTTGCGCTTGCGAGGCAGGCCACCGAACCGCTGAGCTAAATCCCCTGCCCTAGCTTTTGTTTCTTTTCTTTTTTTTTTTTTCATTATCTGAATATTCACGTTATTCAAGAACAAGCAATCTATATAAATGTAAAATGTTATTGCAGGTCACTGAGATGTAATTGATCTGTAGATCTATACTCTCCTTTTCTTGACTAAAATTTTGATCTGAGTGTCAAAGGTATTGTCATAACTATGTATACTCTCAAAGACACATTTATTCTTGATCCAGGAATCTATATTTGCTTATTTTTTTAACATTAACTTTCAGATACTGCTCTTGCTTCACTTCATGAACTTTTGTTTCTAACTTCAACATGTACCCACCATAAATAAACACAAGCATACACATTACACATTTAAAGAAAAGCAGAATTCTAGATAAAATGGTGGGGTCTTTGTAACCAGAATTTTTGCTTATTCTCTCCATCCAAACCTCCTTTCCTTTTGTTCCTATTACTGGCCCAATGGGTTCTGTTCCAGTTGCAATTTAAGAGAGGTGGTAGGGCATGGGCCTTTTTTTGGAATATGTTAATGGTAAATCTAGAGTCAGGTGAGAGGGAGTAAATATTTTATTCAGAAATTCCCCATGATTCACTCTGCTATAAGAGAGTCACAGGCTACAGATGGGAGAAAGGCAGCAAAGATATGGATTGGATTGCTGCATTGGGTCCCTGTAGACTGATTTGGGACCCTTTTCCTCATCTCATTCAGCAAGAGGAGGACCAAATATGGATCTGTTTATTTGAAGATAGTGCTAAATGTGTATATTGTGTGTGTATGTGTGTGTGTGTGTGTGTGTGCATAAGCCTTGAACAATTTTTCATCTGTTATATGAAAGCTATTTGATTGAAAATACCTGACTATGATGGTCCCTTCCAGGCATATGCAACTTTTAGTTTTTTCCACCTGCAGTTAGAATCTACCTGTATTATTTTGTAGGACTATCTAGATTTCAAGGAATTTCAAAGTCTTTTGACATTAATTGCTTCTTTGTGGCATAAATGTTAAACTGTATACATAGAACCAATCACATATAATGAAAATGTGTACAATGGAAACATTTATGACACAGTATGTTTTTATTATGAAGAATAACCTCAAAATTGTTGCCACAATCTAAATGGTACAAAATCACCTTAACAATACTGAGTTGTTCAAATTACATTTTTGGATGGTGGATTTAAACACATTTTAAATTTTCAATGGCCTCAATTTTTCTCATAATTCTACAAGTTTGCTCTAATTTATTTAATGAGCATGGACTTAAGATGGTAGAATAAATTCATTTCCTTTTTATGATTCCCTAAAAGTGGGGAAAAAAGTTGTATGGAAGTCAGTCTATAACTTTTCAAATTATTTTATAAAATTTAAAAATTAACAATTTTCCATTCATTGCCTTTCCTCTAAGCTTTTATTTCTTTCCAGTTCTACTTTAAAGATTCAAAGTTATTATTTCACACAGTAGAAGTCAAATCTTTGTAAATAATTTACTGCATAATCTGAAATTTTACCACTGACTTTTAATTTGAAAACAATATGAATTGTGAATTGTTGTTGATCTAGACTGCAACTACCTAAACATTTTTATCTAGGAAATTATCTTGGTTCTATATTCCCTTTGAAATTAGGAAGTTTAGAGAGTTAAAGGAGATAATTGCAGCAATAACAAAAAGCTGTATCCTAATATCACAATTCTTATGATGACATAATGAAGAAAAGTTTGTTATTTATCCAAAAATGTTCTGCCTATTACCAAAGATTTCTAGGTGAAACACAGTAACTGATACTAAGACAATATGAAGCTAAGGGAAGATCAGTGCTGCTGTTTTGTTACATACTCAGTTACAGATCACAGTTTAATTCTAGAAAAGCACATATATAATTCATTGTTTTCTTCATCTTTCTTTTTCATATACACATGTATATCAAATTTCTTAAACAAAAGTCTCTCTCCCTCCTCAAATGTAATTGGAGAGACTTGGAACTAACATAGGTTCTTTTTTAAACTTTGTAAATCTTCAGCACTGTAGCAAAATTAGGAAATCCTAGATAGAATTATATAGAAGGAAAAAAAAGAATTATATGGAAGACTAAGGAAGAATGTGTATGTTTATGTAGATCCCTGGAATATCAAAAGTGTTTGGCTACACACTTGATTCTGGTCAGGAGCTCAGACTTCAAATAGTCCTAGATTTCCAAGCACCTGTCACACTGTCACCATCTTTTATTTTTGACATGAGCCAAAGATTTCTACTTAATTCCAGTTATTAGCAGGCCTCTTAGACTATCACAGAGTACAAAACACAAACAAAATTCTGAGAAATGAGCATATTAAGAGTTAAAATATGTGATGGCCTAACAAAGAAGACCTGGATGATAAAAATTGTAGATGTCTGTAATGTGTCCTAGGAATTAAGAAAAAAAATTAAATTGAACAGCATCAACTGGAAAATAATTTTTAATTCATAGTGAGTGTGACTTATTTTAAACATACAGAGTCTTGGACAGAGTCTTTCAAAGAAAAGAAGTTACTGGTAATTTTTCCATAGTGTAACATAAGAGGTCCTAAACTGGATAGGAAACAGTGTTGACGGTGGGAGAGTGGGAGTGGGACGGGATCACATAGCAGCATTTTGAATATATGGGACAAATGCTGTATTTAAAATCAGAAGCCATGTTAAGTGATATTGATGAATATTTAAGAATAAATTGCTTATATTTGAATAAACTGTTTTGTTGAAAATAAAGAATTTCTATTTCCAGATTAAAATTCTCCTGATAGCCTGCCTGTTTCTAGGCCACTTCCTCTGTTTTCATGGATTATTGAATGATTGGGGAATATGAAATATAATACCTTTTACTAAAGCCCTTTAGAATGAGACACAGGTGTAAAGTGACCAATACCTAAAAAAGATAAAATTTAGTACTGTATATACATAAAGTAGAAATATATATTCTTTGGAGAAAAATATTTTTAAATAAGTGGAAAATTGATATTTTAAAGATTTATCATTGTCAACACTGCCACGTAGTGCATGAAAAGCTGAACTCAGAATAGTCAGTAAATGCACCTAAATCTTGGCAATTAATTGAAAATATCAGAATACCACCTTGTGTTTATATAGCACCTGTTTCCTACTAGGTGACAAAACAGTGACACAGCATTTTTGTTTTGATGTTTGCTTTGCATTTGGTTTTCATGGTCATTACTCATCGTGTAACTGTGTAGTAGGAAACATGTTAGCGTCATCCATATTTTTCTAATTGGGATGTGGGTTTAGAAGAATAGATGAATTGAAAAGTTTCCACAGAGAAATTTTTCATGCTGGTTGCGAAATGCCTAGTTTTCTCCAACATAGGTTTGCAGAATTGCTGGTTTTGTTTTTGTGCCATTAGGTTTTTCCACAGATTTTTCTTTTGCATCAATGATCATTTTTTCTTTCTCTTCCTCCCACTCTCACCCTCTCCTCTTCCTTCACTCCATCTTAGCCCTCCTCTTCCGCTATTAAAAACTACACACAGAGTACAGAAAGAAGTTCAATGCTGTCATTGAATTTTTTTCAATACAAATATCTTTTGTGAATATCACTAATCTCTCTAATTGACTAATATTCCTACTGAGATGGCCTCAATTGCTGCCAGGATAAACCAATATCCATTCAAACATTTTCTGTTTTGCCAGAAAGGAATTTGTTCTAATCCAACTTCTCAGTGTTTCAGACTCATTTATTCCACTTTTGCAACCAATGTATTTCAGTAAGAATTTTGTCTTCAAACTACCATTTAATTGGACAGACAAGTGTCTTAGGTTCAATTTTATTAAATTATCTTTTCAGAAATTCTTTCAAAAATGGACTGGATTTTTCAAAATTTCATGGGCTGGTATCATGGGGCCCTCCACCTAACTAATGTTTTTTTCTGAATGCAACTTCTAAGTATCCAGATTTTTCTACTTCCATTTTGTAAACTAAATTTAAATATTTGCTCACACATGATTATTGTACATGAATGATATGGAAAACAAAATGCAAATGAATGGAAAAAAATGAGTAAGTTAACTTTCATGGTTTGTTGATTTTTATGTCACATTTAATTTGCATTTAGAGTCTTAGCATGTGAATAATTTATTGAATTAAATTGTGAGTGATTTATATTAAATCTGAATACCACTACCTGATGAAAGTTTTACTGAACTATTTATCAAATAAAACTATTTAAATTGTATTTTGATTAATGCTGTTTAGAACAATTTTGTGATTCAAAATCAACAAGTAGGGAAGTAAACAATTATGATGCAGTTTATTATTAGGAGTTTTAAAGTCATTAGCTAACAGCATCAACCTTTTATTTTGATTAAGTAAACTCTTGTGTACGTAACATAATTCAATGGGACAAAAATCTTCATTCTTCTTTCCAATTTATTTCCATTTGTTAGTTTTCAGAGGTACTGAAAAATAAATTATTGTGCTGTGCTTTTAAATATTTCAATAAGTATCTTCTTAATAGCCCTTTTGCCAGTTTTACCAAACTCTACAAGGATTGTCTATTTATTTGCTTTGTGAGGAAGGAAAAATCTGGCATGCAATGAGTTATCATGCAGTGACTTGTGTCGAGCAGTGGCAATGTACAGTCTTTTCTACAGTGTGTGCTAACAGCCATTGTTGGGCCAGGCATTTCTCCAGAGCTCACGAGTTAGGGAATAGTAATTATAGCAAGTTGTGTATTATAAATAATGCATGTATGTTCCACATGAGCTATGTGGGATTTCATCCCATTTGCTAGAACATAGCTGCATAATGATTTGTTTGGATTTTGTTGCAGATGATTGATAGTGCAGAATGTTGGCAATGATGTAAATTACTGTTGGGCTGCCTTGAAAATTTCAGTACAAGTGGTGATTTCTTCTCTTTTTCTGTGTGCTTGTCTAGTCTCGACAGACACCTGAGGGGGAGTTCCTTCCCCTCGACCAACTTGAACTGGATGTAGGTTTTAGCACAGGGGCAGATCAACTTTTTCTTGTGTCCCCTCTCACAATTTGCCACGTGATCGATGCCAAAAGCCCCTTTTATGACTTATCGCAGAGAAGCATGCAAACTGAACAGTTCGAGATTGTCGTCATCCTAGAAGGCATTGTGGAAACAACTGGTGAGTAAAATAATAGATATGCCATCAAGTTTTTTATTCCATGTGACATTCTATTATATGTACAGAATTTAGCGTGAATTAAGTCCGGTGATGCAGAGTTCACAATAATGAAAGTAATAAGTTATCTTCGTAAGATAGAATTGCTACTACTTTGAAAATTCAGATGTATAGTTTTTAATGGTTGCACAACCGATATTAATACAGGAATACACATTGGGGAATAAGGGAACTTCTCTGGTGTCTTAGAAATGATTGTGGTGTTCTATTTTAATTACAACCTAAATTTCCTATTATCATGATTTTTCTTTAAAGAGCTAAGGTTAAAAATATTCAGTATAATTAGTAAGCAAGCGACACTTAACATGCATATCCTTGCCTTTGGGGTGGTAATCTGCTGTTTCACTGACAGATCTTTGATATATACTATGTGCTGCCTCAGTGGGAAATTCTGCGTGCATGTTGTGTGTGTGTGTGTGTGTGTGTGTGTGCACGCGCGCGGGTATAAGAATCCTGATGAAAGCATCACTTTAATTTTAAAGTGGGTCAGTACATATCCCCAGCTGAACCTTGAATACAGTTTCATTTAGAGATTTTCTTCTTTTATTGTTTTAGTATAACTTTGTGCCATGTATCATCTTTAAGATGCATATTCCATGGAATGCACCAAATACTTGCAATTTGTAACTCTAAAGAGAGCTGGGTCAGCAAAAAAATGAAACAAGAAATATGAGTATATTATTTGGGCCATAAATACTGCCCATTTAGTTTGAAGCCTAATGGTTCAAACTAAAGCATAAAATCAATATAATTATATAAATACATATGTGCATGTATGTGTATATCTTGAATTTATACTTTCTCCAGGTAATAAAAAAGCAAAAATTTTTATCTCATTTTTTCTTCATTATCATTTTGATCTTAAAGATACAAATTGTTACATATAACTCTAACAATACAATACACATAACTACAGAAATACTTAAATTAACATTGGCAATACCATATATGTAAGCTTTATATCGAGGTATATGTTATTTGATTGTGTAACAGTTACTTCTAACCAAAGAATGGGAAAGCAATTGTAATTTTTTATGTGTGTCACATAATACCTATCTAGAATTTAGGAAAACTAGTTAATCTCTACAAGCATGTTTTCTTTCTTTTTAAAGTGAGGAATACACTATAACCACTTTGAAGCTGCTTTTTATTATTATTTTTATTTGTAGTGCCTCAATTGAAAATTAAAATTATAAAGGATATAGGAAATGATTTATCTCATCAAACTGACATTGGATTTTTTTTGCACTATTTAATAATTTAAGTTTTTCATTCAGCATTCAATTTAAAATTGAAGTGTTATCATGGTGTTTTTCTAAAATATATTCATAAGCAATGAAACCGATTTATTAAGGCTCTTATTCCAAAAGCTCTGTACATTTCAAAGTCAGTTTTTATAAATCTCATATATCAAAGTAATAATGCAGTATATGAGCTTACAAAATAGATGTTGCCATTTTTATTGGATTATTTTGTAGCACATTATTCTCTTGTACATATCTGTTTATAGTTTATCAACTAATTATTATTATTTTCATCACTGACATGAGTGAATTTTTGTCTCACTTGGTAGCCTTAAAAATTTTTTATAAGACTGTCTACCTATCTAGTTATGCAGCCATCCGTCATTTTTTGTGTGAATTTTCCTAAACGCCACGTGTATTTCTCAAGAGTAGAAGCATTTTTCTACAAAGTCATGGTCTAAAGATTGAAATACTTTCACAGATTTTCTTTGTGTTGACCTTGTTGTACTTGAAGAATATTGGTCAGATATTTTGAATAGTATGTTTCTTTGAATGTCTGAGCTTTTCTTATTAGTTAATTCTTTTTGATTTTTGACTTCTAAGTATGTATCTTGAAGCAGGCTGATTTTTTAAATTTCATTTATATTTCAGAGGACCATGATTAGCAGATAATGTCCATCATTAAGATTATGAAAGCGGGGGATTTAGCTCAGTGGTTCGGTGGCCTACCTTGCAACTGCAAGGACCCAAGTTCAATCCCCGGTACCAAAAGAAAAAAAAAAGATTATGAAGAATTTTTTGTAATATCAGTTATTCATTGGGATAAGATATTTTAACATTTCTCCCCCATTTTTTATGTTTTAATGAACCAACACAGAATAATTTCCACAAAAAAATGTGAAAACTTGGCTGGAGACTCAATTTCTTTTTTACAGATTGCCCTTTATGGAGAAGAGATTAAAATCTGCTTCCTTGTAACCTAATTAAGCCTGTTTTCTAGATCTAATATAACAAACAGCAAAAATATTGCTCATGGTTTATAGAACTTATTTTGTGGAAAATTTATGTGATATTTTGTTTTCTCCTGGAGATGACTGGAGAAGACAGGCAGGTAATAGTGCTTCAGGGGTTGAAAACAGAGCCACAAGGTGAGAAGATAAACAATACATGCAGATACTCTAGGTTGATGGTCAGGGAAGGTCTCTGAGGAACTGACACACTGAGCCCAAAGTTCAGCTAGGCTGCCTGTACTCCTCCGGGCCACAGCATGGCAAGCCCTGAAGTATAGTTAGTGCCAAGGCCAGGAGTTTGGAATAAGCCTGAGGCGCAGGTGGGAGGAGCAGAGTAAACAACAGAGTGAGATGAGGAGGGAGGAGTGGGCACCTCTGCACTGTGAAGGATTTTACTGCGTGCAGCAACAGAAAGTGGTGGGATTCACTAAAAAAGCAGAGTAATAATTTAGTAACTGTATATAACAAAAAACTCACATCTTTCTTCCAGTGGGTTTTATGTAGTTTATTTCAAAGTTAGTAATTCTAATGTCTTGGAACAGCATAGGATTCTAGGCAGTTGCTGCTTTCATGTTAATTGTGTTCCCCACTCCACTTCCCTATCCTCCCACCCTTACTCAGATGCTCACTTCATGGCAGTCCTCTGCTAGGATTCTTCTAATCTCATTTCCATTTTGCTTTTTCCCTTTCCTGTGGTCTCAGCAGGAGTGGTGGGGAGAGGTAGATGAGAAATTCGAAGCATCTAATTTCCATGAAAATTTCCAGTTTCAGCCCAGGACTGTTATGGATTACTTTCTCCCTTTCCTTGGAAATACTCCTCGGTGATTAGAGAACTAAAACATTGCTCTTCTTGCTTCAAATGAGTTGGAGTTTTTTTGCCCCAGCCTTGCCTCTTTTCATCAATGCCCTTTGCATCCTTGCTCCTGAAGCAGACTCCAGAGTGTAGATTGCCTCTAACTCTTGCTCTCTTTGCTGCTTTCTCCCAGGAGGGAGAGCACTGCTGGAGGCAAACAAAGCATTGCGGATTTGGCTCATTAGAACTGGATGCTTTCAAACTTCAATCTGGTTTCTGCTGCTATTTGGCAGTCTTTGGAATTGTCTTTTCTGTACTCCCAGGCTCACTCCCTATGGGATCTATTTTAGACCTTTTCTCTCTCTCATACCCCCAGGCCCAGCTGTCCCATCCTTGTTTGGCATCTCATCTCTCCACCTCTTATATTGAAAACAATATGACACTTGAGTTTTTGTGCATTTCTTTACTCTCTTTATCATCTTCTCATGGTTATGTTCTCCTTTTCCTGTTATCTATGGGAGAAATTGCCTTTTTCTATTGGTCCAAACCATCTTTTTTTACAAGAGATGTGTTTCTCATGCATTTCTCTCCAAGACTTTGGGCTGACATCCAGCTCTTACCACACCATTTCCTAAAAATCCCACTGACTTATTTCTCTTTGCTCTAAGAATATTTTCAGTCCTTTATTTATGGTGAAAATACCATTTTTCTTCCTTTTGTACTCTGAATATTTCTCATGGGATTCAGAGACACAGTATTTTCCTTGCCGCTCTCTTTTTTCTTCCTTATTATTTCTTTAGTTTTTTCCTTATACCCTATATCACTACCACTTTCTACTCCTGTCCATCGTTCCTAGTTCTCTGCCTTTGCTTGCTTTCTTTTCTAGTTTAATCACTTTTTAAATAAAATTGCAGTCTCGTAGCTCCACCATTCTTTTATTTACAGCTTTACTTTGTATTTTCTATAAATTTCAGGCCACTTTTTCACTTGGTAAGCACCATTTTAATTCAGGGTCCAATTGTCCCAATACCAAGTCATCATTACAATCTCCTTTAATTCATCTTCAGGTGAAAGGTTTGTTTCTATTAGTGATGGCTATTTTATCAAAGCCTTCCCTTTCCTTTTCCTGTCCATCTAATTTTTTCATCTCATAAATACTTACCATATCCTGTGATGGGCTAAACATTATTCTAGACCTCAGAGAACACATTAATTATCAAAACAGAATTTGTGGCCTTGTGGATAACTGTATTTCTATGTGGAAAGAATAAAAAAGAATGAACTACATAATTGAGAATGTTAGAAAGTGGTGAGTTTGATGGGGAAAAATAAATCAAAGTAACAGGGATTTTGAAGTGACAGGAGCTCAGGGAAGGCTGTAATGAGAAGGTAACAGTTGGGTCAAAACTTAGTATCTTGAGCAAAACAAGTAGGTCAGGAGGGGCATTTCAGATAGAGGAATAGCAGGTCCAAACATTCTAAAGGGGCAATCTACCTGGCTGCTTCTCTTCTCAGAATCTCTCTGTTCAGCTGCTCCATGATAAGTTTGAGTGATGGTAGTTCTAAATCACAGTTGTTCAGTAGTGGACTTAGTACCTGTGGAGTCTCTGCTTTAAGCATGCTGAATACTGCTGCCCAGTAAATTTACATATAACACTACTTTCACAAAAAGTACTGTGCTCACGGATCCCTAATACCTGCTATATCAAAACACACACATTTCTTCCAGTTAAAACTAGGCTGCTCTATAATACTCATACACTGACATTCATGTTTACCTTCTATGTTTGTGAATATACTGTTTTGCAGTACCTAGAGTGGCATTTTTGGTTTTCTTTCCCATAGTGTAAGAGTAGTCACTTGTGTTAAATCTTCCCTGGGAAATTTAGTCCATAG